AAAAAAAAAAAAAAGCAGAATAGTTTTGAATAATGCTGCAAATTTGAAAACTATACTATAGCCCATCAGCATTCTACAACCAATGATTCAATTATGAGAGGCCAGGTAATTCATATCATGCTATCCCAGACAAAGTATATGATGTTGTATTTCACAGAAGTTGCACCTTTTTTAATAAACCAAGGAAAATATGTTTAAAATCTCAGAACTTAAAGAGTACAGACAATCCAACTGTACAGCATGAGTGTGAAAACTTTGATGCCATTGTGAGTGAGATCAAGTGTAAACAAAGTGAAATGTAGGATTCTTTTTTATTAAAGAACCTTAGGATGAAAACAGAAGGGTAGACAGTAGCTATGATCCAGTTCTTTCTAAACAGCATCGTGTCAAGTAGTAATAAAGTCAGTCAGTCATGTTTACAAACAAAAAACCCACCAAACAAAACAATACATAGATACACAAGTACATATGTGCAAATAGGACTAAAACCAATACTGTATGTAAAAGTTTTCTTCAAACAGACCATCTTTTCCATATGTGGTTTAATAAGTGGCACGGTATATTAATATGCCACCATGTATTTAAAATATACATGTTAAACCATGTTATCAAAGTAGGCATGATATATTTAGCTTCTTTTTTTTAGAGTTTGTTTTTGTTTTATTTTTGTCTCTGTGAACATGCACTTGCATGTTCACAGAGACAACTCTTGAGATCTCATTGCTGTTAAAAAAACACCCAGAAGCATTATGAGGAATACCCAACGTACACTCTTGTTTCTATTTAAACAGCCTTGAGAAATGATGTGCTGGGTGACTGATGATCATGGATGGGTTTTTTGTGTTTCCTTTTGAAACACATTGTGTCAGTTCACAGCTATCTTTCCTCAAGGAAAGGATTTCTGGCCTCATTTTATGAACACTGCATTAAGTGTGGTCTGACAGGACAGATTTAGATTTAGCAAGTCTGTGGGGTAGCAGGTCAGAAACATCACAAATGTAGTGGTTAGAAAAAGAGCTCCCCATAATACTGCTGTGGTTTTGACATCTGTTATAACCAAATTTCAAACTACAATAAATCTTAGGGCGCTATGAGATTGGGTTTGCATTTTTTTAAATGTTAATTTGTACGTGATGTACATACACTTTGCCATTGTCCTCTAGTTTTCTGCATGCATTTCAAAGATTAAGAAAATGAACTAATGGCACAGTACCACCTGGGAGTGCTACAAAAAATAAGAAACAAGCATCGTTTACCAATTTTCCTTCTTTGGGAATTGTATTTGAAGTCATTGCTGTTTCTTACAATTTAAATCATTAGCCAATGAGATCATGAAAGACATGACGAAATTTTATTTTTCAGCTTGTAGTAACAGAGATGGAAACAGACAGCACTTCACTATTGCACATCAATATAAAAAAAAACAAGGGGGCGGGGGGACAGGTGTTTAAAGCCTTTGCAGTTTCCTAATTTCTAATAATGCTAACATAGAATTTCACTTAAGGAGCTGAAGAATTTTACAGTTAAAAAAAAATGTCAATGCGGCTCAGCAGACTATAGGCTGCTCTCCTCTCTGCTGCAGACTTGAGGCTATACCAGCGGATCACAGAATGAATTGAACAAACTGTCAGCAACTACACTGCCCTGCAGGTAATGTAGGCACCAGGCTTTTATCTGTTGGTCAGCATTCAGCTCCTACATCAACTTGGACCTTTTAACAGTCACAAATTTACTTATGCAACATTTAACATGAACTGAACTCTATCCCCGACTAATACACAAGGAGGAAGTCTTTTTGTGGAGATCCAGACTAGCTGGCCAGTGTGAAAGCACCCTAGGCTGTAACAACATCCATCCATCCATTCGCTTCCGCTTATCCTTTTTCAGGGTGCGGGGGGCGCTGGAGCCTATCCCAGCTGTCATAGGGCGCGAGGCGGGGTACACCCTGGACAGGTCGCCAGTCTGTCGCAGGGCCAACAGACAGGGACAGACAACCATTCATTCGCACATTCACACCTAGTGACAATTTGGATTATCCAATTAACCTATCCCCACAAGCTGCATGTCTTTGGACGGTGGGAGGAAGCCGGAGTACCACGGGGAGTTCATGTAAACTCTATACACCACACAGAAAGACCTGATGTTGGAATTGAACTCAGGACCTCCTTGCTGTGCGGCAACAGTGCTAACCACCGTGCTGCCCCGTGCTGTAACAACAATGTTCCCATTTTACAGTGACATAGATAAAAGAAACATGCTGTAAACTCATTAAATAAATGTCACATGTTGACATGGTTTTGGAGGAGCCAAAATGAAGGATCTCAAACAGTTCAATAACGGCGTTGAATATTTTTGTATAAATATTAATTATCACATAGGAAAAAAGAAAAGCAAAACCTACCAACATACAGCAGCAAATTTTAAAGAAAGACGTAACTAGTTCTGCTTGAGATGATTGTAAATAGATGAAATAGCTAAGTGAAAATTGTATGCAATCTGCAGTGTTAGTGTGGTCTGTATTATTGATTTCAGCATTTGAAAGCACTGTCTGAATAACTACAACTATTCTTAACATGTCAAGATGAGGCATATGAAATGCTACACTGCAAGGGGCTGTCACTTTAATAAATTAAACAATGAGAGTGGAGTTGTAGATAATGTGTGAATATGCACTTGGTGGAGAGGAATGGATCAAAGACGATGTGAACAAAGCAGACTCAAAGTGTCTATGAGTACTGATAAAAGGGCTGCTCATCGGGTCTGAAGCCATAGGCCGTGGCTGGTCGTGCAGGTGATGAGCTGGTCTGGTCGAAAACATCGCCAATGTCTCTGGTAGACAAAGTTACAAAAAAAAAAAAAAAAGCCAATTTAACAGTATGAAAAATAAAAATGTGAAACACTGGACTGGGATTTTATAGTGTGGCAAAAGAGGTGGAGGCTTTGATTGCCTGAATTTAAAATTCAGTAAGCTGTAGAATGGCTAGAATGTTTCTGTCTTCTGTTAACTCACCCTGCATGGTGCGAGTCTCCATTCTGCGGTTGCAGGTCACTGAAGAAGTCTGGGCTGACTGAGCCATCTCCTGGAGTTATTCCATCTAAAAGATTGAAGAACACAACAATAAACCAGCAGATACACTTAATTTAAAAAGTGTAAACAGACTAAAAGTCTAAATTTCAAGTTCTAGCCTATTTTGAGTCCCTGCTATGTAGTTACTTACCTGTAAAAGTCAGTTTTTGCTTTTGATGTTAAATGTAAATTTACTGAATGCACTGACATTCAGTACAAATAATAATTTAATAATGTCACACAGAAAACATCTCTTCTTATTTCCATCTCTTAAGAGAACTGTCAGGTGGGTTGTTTTGTTATTTTAAAATTACATAACTTTTAGAAAGATCCCAGTCTTTCGATTTCAATTATTGATTATTCATTCTGTGAATTTTGTGTGATAAGCTGGAATAAAAACAAACAAAAATGATAATTTATGCCTAGAACTGCCAAATAAGTCATTTTGACCCCAGAGAAATGTAAAACACTAATCAGTACATACTTGGCTGTATTGTGCATAAACAAAACAAACACATTATACATTTAGATAAGAATGCTGCTATATGATCAAAAGCTAGTTAAAGATAAATAACTAGTAGCCCAGGCGCTGTAGCCAGAGTTTTTGCTGCTTGAACACAACAGAGACCTGAGTGTTTGTACTAATCCGCACAACAGTGAAATCCGGAGAGGAGCAGCCAAATCGGATGGTTTTAGGGGGTGAGGACTGGGTGAAGGGCTACAGATGGGGGAACAGTGGATGGTCGGTGTGGGAAGAGGTCCAGTGGCATAAAACAGAGGTGGACAGATTCATACATTTTCAGTATTCTACGTTTACAATAATTAATTTATTAAAATTTGGTTTATTTTGTTGTAGCCGATTGTATGGTAAACTTTTAAATGTAGTCAATGAGCTGTTTCACAGTGAGTTCCTTGTTATTAATAGCTTCATTATGTTTGCTGTACTCTTTGTTTAATTGTGGATGCTAAAATATATTTTACCTTTACAATCTGTAATGAAATAAATCACTAGACAACTTCTAAAAATTCATGTTAAATGCTTATTTTGTCAAATCCTAATCATTAATAAAAAATTAAATATCAACTTCCTCAGGAAATGACTTCCTTGCCATTTCTGCTGCTGTTATGGGATGAGGTCAAAATGACAACCTGCCAGTCCCCCCCCCCCAAACAAACTCTCAAGTCTTGTTGGGAAGGTAAAATTTACTGTCAGGCTGGTCAATTTTCCTGTTCTACATGCACAGCTGAGTCTTTGCTCAGTGTACCTGCACTGTAGAAGAGATCAGTCCGGTCATTGTCGTTATCATAAAGATAAGGCTCAGACTCATCTGCTTGCCGACTCTCAACCATCTCCAGCCACTGGTTGTTGTGGAAACGGAACTTCTCTGACTGAATTTTCCTGCCCCACTCTTCGTCATATTCCTTGGAGGAGACAGACCAAAAATATGAAGGTGCATTTCTAGTCCTTATTTTAGAAAACAGACATCCATCAGTAGCACATTGTTAACTTACAGCAATAATATCAAGGGTGTTGTCACACACTTTTCTAATTTCTGCATTCTTGTCATGCATCAGATCAATGAGGTAAGCTGGAGCCTCTACAAAGAGGGTTAAAGAGAACCCACAGAAATCCTCAGTGCTGTAAGACAGACAGACATATATACACATATCCATACACGTGTGTATATATACATACACACATACAGAGAGAGAGAGCGAGAGAGAAATGAATCACAACCTTGGCCAGCCGCTTGAAGAGGTACACCAGAGAGACCGAAGGCAGGAGAATAAACCAGCTGTTCTCCACAGAACCATCCAAGGTGTACTCTCAGTAGCATTGGAACAATATGAGAACAGCACCACCAAGGCAGGAGAACAATACTGGAAGTGCATATGTGAGAAGGACGCAACCCATAACGGCAATGCTCAGTGGCTAGTGGACCACCCAGAATGGCTAACCGAAGGCCGGACAGTCCTGATCCTCAAGGACCCCCAGAAGGGACCGGTCCCCTCCAGCTAACGACCAATAATCTGCCTCAGCACCGCGTGAAAGCTCCTGTCAGGCATCATAGCAGCTAAGATGAACAGGCACATGGGTCAATACATGAGTGGGGCACAGAAAGGGATGGGCAAGAATACCTGAGGTGCAAAACACCAGCTACTGGTAGACCGAACAATCAGCCGAGACTGCAAGACCAGGCTGACCAACCTGTGCACTGCCTAGATTGATTACAAGAAGACCTATGACTCAATGCCCCACACATGGATCCTGGAATGCCTAGAACTATACAAGATCAACAGGACCTTAAGAGCCTTCATCAGGAACTCAATGGGGATGTGGCGTACAACACTAGAGGCCAACTTCAAGCCCATAGCACAAGTCACCATCAAGTGTGGGATCTACCAAGGAGATGCTCTGTCCCCAATGCTGTTCTGCATAGGCCTGAACCCCCTCAGTGAGATCATTAACAAGACTGGCTACGGATACAGACTACGGAAGGGAACAGTTGTCAGCCACCTCCTGTACATGGATGACATCAAGACAGAGACAAGACATCAATTCACTGATCCACACCACCAGGATATACAGCAATGACATTGGAATGTCATTCGGGCTGGAGAAATGTAGTTGGATGGTAGCAAAGAGAGGGAAGGTAGTCAGAACTGAGGGGATCAAACTACCAGAAGGCAACATTGCAGACATAGAGGACAGCTACAAGTACCCGGGCATCCCACAGGCAAATGGAAACCATGAAGATGCCGCTAGGAAAGCTGCAACCATCAAGTACCTGCAGAGGGTCAGGCAAGTCCTGAGGAGTCAGCTGAACGGTAAGAACAAGATCCGGGCTATCAACACCTACGCCCTGCCCATGATCAGGTACCCGGCTGAGATAACAAGCTGGCCAAAGGAGGAGATAGAAACCACTGACATCAAGACAAGAAAGCTCCTGACCATGCATGGAGGGTTTCACCCCAAGTCCAGCACCCTGAGACTGGTGAGTGTCAGCACCACAGTCCAGGACGAGACAACGAACATCCACGAATACATCACGAAGATGGCCCTAACCGACCGCGTGCTCAGTGAATACCTCAGGCAGCAGGAACCCAAGAAAGAGGGGGAAGGCGAGGAACCATCATGGAAGGACAGGCTACCTCCCGGCAGATAGCGGAGGTGGCTGATATCCAGAATTCCTACCAGTGGCTGGACAGAGCTGGACTGAAAGACAGCACAGAGGTACTAATTATGGCAGCACAGGAACAAGCTCTGAGCACAAGATCCATAGAGGCCGAGTGGTCTATCACACCAGGCAAGACCCCAGGTGCAGGCTGTGTAAAGATGCTCCAGAGACAATCCAGCACATAACAGCAGGGTGCAAGATGTTAGCAGGCAAGGCATACATGGAACGCCATAAGCAAGTGGCTGGCATAGTATACAGGAACATCTGTGCCTGGAAGTCCTGAGGTCAAAATGGGAGATGCCCCCCCAGGGTGGTGGAGAATGACCGAGGTAAGATCTTGTGGGAATTCCAAATACAGACAGACAAAATGGTGGTGGCTAATCAACTGGACACAGTGGTGGTAGACAAACAGAAGAAGATGGCCGTAGTGATCGATGTAGCGGTCCCGAATGACAGCAACATCAGGAAGAAGGAACATGAGAAGAGCGCAGTCCTAGGAACAGCTAAGATACTGCGCAGGGCACCCAAGCTCACAGGCTGGAAGGATTGACTGCCCGAAGGGCGAGCAGGGAAATTATATATATATATATATATATATATATATATCTCAAAGACGGGATGAACTGTGGGAAGGATACGGGTGTCTTTGATGATCACATCTCGTGTAGCTTGGTGAAACACCATCTGATAGAAGACGTAGACAATCTGGCATACAAACTCATCGTCCTCCTGCTGGGCTATATTAAACAAAGGAGACCCATGATAAGCAGTTTATAGACCAAGGACACAGGAAAGTTATATGTAATACATTTTTGGGGAAACCACTGGTATGCATGTTACCGTTCAGTAGCTCAATAAGTGCAGGAATAATGCCAGATTTAGCTAACATGACGGCACAGGCATCATCCATGGATACCGTTCCGATCATTATGACCACCTCCAGGATGAGATCATCCTCTGCTGAACCTGAAACAGACAGAAGGAAGCGTAGTTTTAGAAAGTTATTCCAGTCAAAAGAGAGCAGTTAAGCTAACCATTTTCTGACTTTTTGATAGTTTTGCAGTATTTATTTAGCACTAGTTATAAACAACTGCTTTGTAGTAGAACAAAGAAATAAACATCTTTAATATGGGAACAACAAATACAATGTTAGTGTAGCTGCCGTCATGGGCAACTCTCGCATTTAGGTTCTTTTTATTAGATATTTAAGGTTGAAACAATAAGTAGTTGAAATATTAATAAATAAGAAATAAATAGTAATTCATGTTTCGTTGATTAGATTTATATGTTTAAATGTGTTATTTGTGTTAACTGTGCAATTAGATAGGAACCTTTTCTAAAGTTCCGTCTGTTGTTGCTAAGAGGGCATTTTTTTGGCTGTCACACTCAGCAAGCTAATTAAGAGAAGAGCCACGAGGTTTGCACGTCTACAGAAAGTTATAAAAGAGTGCCTTTTTGGACCTCCCCACAATGTAAAGATGAAAGTTTTATTCCCTTTGAGTGAGGCCAATGAGGTAAATGTTTTATTTTGTTTATCATCGTTGTATGTAAATACGCGAGTGTTGCGTGATATTCCAGTGCAATTACCGCAGTGAGAGGTGTAATGTGTACTTTATTGATCCTTTTTTTTGGAATGTTTCGTCATATATAATGCTTAAGGACTTTATTAAGAATATTCATTTAAGTTTGTATTTTTTTTTTAGTTCTGACGGCATTGTATCGGCTGTGGTTGGACATCATTACATGTTAAGACATGTCGAAGAATCCTCCTGTCTGAAATAAATGTCAGTTAAAACGCAAAGAAGTTGAGCTTTATTAAGACTCGAGGGGAGTAACAGTTAAGTTTATTCTGTGAAAAGAACTATGGCCAAACCATAGCAAGTTTCCTAGTACTCTCTGTCCCAACAAGTACACAAATTCCACTATATTAAAAGAGATGAAATGAAAAATTATGTGAAGGCACCTGGTTTAAGTCTGTCTTTAAGGTAAGGTACTAGATTATACTCCTTCAGCACCAACTCCCAGTCCAGGTCAGGGATGGTGAGGTTGGCTAGAGTCCCCAGACACTCCAGAACCCAATCCTCCTCTTCCTCTTCTTTAATCTCCGCTGCCAGGTCACCAACATAGTCCTGACAAAGCAAGAAGAGAATTTACACAATTAAAAACAATCAAAAAACAAAAGAAACAAACAAAAAACAAAAACACCCCACCTCAACCATCCTGAAAACAAGGCTGATGTTTACTATGGGTCAATACTGATGACAGCAATTTCCGTACACAATGATTATTAAATAATGACTGATAATTATGATAATTTTAGGTTGTAATGTTTTCTTTATTGCATATAACTCACTATGAACAGTGATTTGGTTTGGCCATCATGTTGTGAGATGTTTCTGATCATCTTCATGAGGAGGCAGTCTTTCATCTTCAGAGCTCTTTTCATAAGCATCTTCAATCCATCTCCTAGGAATGGAGAGACACTCAGCATAATCTCTTCCAAAAGCCATACAGACATCTGGTACCTGTGATGGTGAGGCAATGGTCTAACTTGTGCAAAAAGTAAAATACCTTCACACATGAGTTGTGCATTCTTCTTGTTTGCAGCCAGGTTGATGCAGATGGAGATGAGCTCAGTTTCAATTTCCTCCTCACCATGCTCGTACAGCATTTGCATTAGCTACACACAGACACACAAAATTGTACCTAAGACTTTAGAAATCAGGCGCTATGAGTGTTCAGCTCGGTGTACATTTTGTACCTGTGGTATGCAGTCAGTATAAACAAACATGCCCTTGAACCGGTCATCCATGCTGATGTGGTACAGGATACGCATTGCCATCTGTCGGTTGTTCTCATCCCCTGAAAACACACACAATAACGATACCATTACCATGTTACAGTTTTGCATAAAATGCCAAGGGTTCACACTGCAAGGCTATTAACTATAAAAGCAAAACGCAGAGATAAATGCATTTCCCAAATCTGGGATATATAAAGAGCATCTTTCATCTGGTGCTAAGCAAGTGCAAGATTTAAACCAAGGTTTTTGTGTTCATTAAAGAAGTTCCCTAACTGAACTAAGTGGCAAGAAGTTGACTGAAGAGGCAGTTGAATTTATATTGTCCAAAGAATCTCAAATATACAGTAGCTTTAAAAGCAGGCTGTAAACAGGACACAGTTTGAAGTAGGTGAGTTTAACCCTTTATTTTAAAGCTACCTGTGGCTTTTTTTCTAGTTTGGTTGTCATTAATTTAGTTTTAAATTCCATTCCAACTATTCCTTTCTTTGTTCTACTCAAACAACAAGTGAATCTCTGTACCCTACTAATTCATGCCAACTTGTCAGAATTGCTTGAACTGAACTTTCTTTGGTCAACAGCAGATTCCTGCAGTCACCTGTAGTTTGGAGATGGCAACTTGTCTGCACACACCTACCATTTACTCGCAAAGCTGCAGTGAAAGGTGGAAAAGGTGCAACCAAAAAGGGAAAAACAGAGATCATTTGATGGACTGAACGGAGACTGAACAGAGATCTCCCTGTGCGGGCGACAATCTCCGTTTCTCGTTTGGGTTGCATTTTTCAGTTTGATCACTGCTGAAGAGGAGATTTTCAACATAAGCATGAAGTGCTTTTATAACACCAGGAGAATGTGAACAGTTTTTCTTCAGGATGTAACAATCCACAGTGTTGATTGTGTGTCGACTTATCAGCAATACTTAAAAAGCTGTAAGCTACACGTTTGTTCCCAGCAGTCACTTTGCTAAAAGGCACTGCACCAATACTGTGAATGGATCGCTATGTGCTGCATGCTATTAAACTAGCGTGCATCATTACCTAACAGGACAGTGAGTTTAGGTAACAGGCCAACTTCTACCATCTTGGCTCTAAGTCCAGAGTCAAAGGAGAGGTTGAGCAGCAAACGTAGAGTCAAGTTTAATAAGTCTTCATGTTTACAGGGAACCAGTCGAGCCAACCGCTCCACTGTATCCACCTCAGCCTACAAATCAGAGACAAACACAGATTATAGCAAATCTAATGATGGTAAATTCAGCAGAAAATAATTTATGCCACTGACAAGAGCTGAATGAATATCAAGGGCATCACAATAAACAAAAAAAGACAAATTCCGAAATCCAAAGCAAGGATTACTATTTTTCTACTGTTTACCTACTTTCCAATATTAGAAGCTAATACCTACAAATTATGTGGAGCTTGTCAATAAGACACTACCATTTACAGCCTCCCCCCTCCCAAAAAAAACAAAAACAACCTAACCTCTGCACTACAGAAGACTTACAATACTGGAAGACAATTGACTTACAGAATGTTTCCCCACAATCACTAACAGAGGAAGAAGGAATAACAATGCAAAAACAATGCAAACCGTTTTTTTTTCTTTCTATTTTTAAACAAAGGATGTAGAATAAAAATAAATGAAGTTGACTTGGTTAACAACAGATCTCTGTAACATAAAAATAATCATCAGGACTGTTTCCCCTATGCTCCCGGCAAGCGTTATCGAATCTGAAAGTCTTGTTTCTACCACCCACCATGTCATTCTTATTCTCAAGAAAGATGGAGAGTTTTTTAAGGAAAGAAACCACCAGGACAAGCAGCTCCTCATCATCACGTTCAAGAACTTTGACCAACAAGCCAACAATGTTTTTATTCCTCATCTTCAGTTCTGTCCTCGTATCCTCAGCAAGGTTCAGCAAGAGGTAAAGAGACACTAAGAACCAGAGAAAAACAGGCCAGCAGAAGTGAGGAGGAGAAACAGAAAATTAGAGATGATATAGTAATTTCAGTTACATCTGATCAACAAAAGTTCTGAATGAGGAGATTAAAAAAAACAAAAAACAAAAACAAAGCCTACCTCTGAGCAGCTGTTCCTGCTTAGCCAAAAGGCCATGGTATTTTCTGAGAGCCTTGTCCTGGTCTCGTCTCAGGGACCCATTCTCTGGTGCAGACTCACGTGCGCAAAAGAACATTAAGGAAAAAATTATTGTTGCTGAATTAATGAGTACATACTCATTAAGTCAGCAAAACTATAAGGGGAGAGAGCAGAAAAGTAAGCAAAAAACACCAACAAAAAGGATATAGGCCTTGTTTTTCTTGCGTAGCTCCTCACGCCATGCATCGTATCTCTTCAATTCATGTTCCACCACACTCATACACAGGGCGCCTATTTTATAATGACTCACCACCCCGTGAAACTGGGAGAAACTGGAGGAGGAAAGGTAAGAGGATTAAACACAACAGTAAGAATAAATGTGATGGAAGTGAGCTGCTATGTAAGTTTGTGTGTTACCTGGAGAAGCAGAAGAATATATAAATGATGATGGTGGCTAGGTCTACACTCTGCTTCCAATCCTCCCTTAGTACTCTGGCCAAAGCACCAAGAGCTGTCTCTATTAGGAAAGACAAGGGAAGTTTTCACATCATAAGTACAGCAGATAACGGCACAAGACTATATTGTGATGTAACATGTGCCATCTAACAAATTTTCAGTTAGAAAAAGATACTTGGGGCAATAGAGAACCCATTGAGCCCATTTCCAGGAGCAGATTTTTGGTCTTGGAGTCTTAAAGTAGCTTTACATGTTTCGCAGTTCAAAATCCTTAATCCTTAGTCGTATAGTCTGTGTAGCCCATAACTTTATTTTCTGTCTCATATTTGCCGTTTTATGGGGTGCCTGTTAGCTCAGTGCGTTGAGCGGACGACCACATGCCATGCGGCTGAGAGCAGCTAGCCTGCGCCCACTTACAGTTTATTGTGGAATATCTAGGACAGACATTTCGCAAGCTTACTTGTTACAACCACACTTGAATTTATTGAGTTCTTTAGAGCAGTGTTTCCCCAACCACTGTGCCACAAGAAATGATCAGGTGTGCCCTGGAAGATTATCTGGGTCCACCTGATTAGCAATATAAGCCATTGGTTCTCCAACTGTGGTACGTGGGCTCCCTCTAGTGGTAGGCAGGAAGTCTCCCAAAAAAAGTTTTAAGATTAAATAATATACCATGTTCTGATTGATGGATTTCTGAAAACTTAAAATGTACAGCTCTGCCATCACTTCTGACATAAACGAAGACAGAAAAACTAAACAGCAGTGACGTTTGTAGGGTTACTGAAGTTGGTCTAGCTGGTATATGATGATGTGCTACATGGTGGCTAGCGACACAGCTATGTTAGCATAATATAAACACAGTGAAGCTGGAGGAGGAATGCTAACTTTTTCCACTCAATAAAAGTTAAAGCAAGGGTTCCTGATTAGGGGTGGGTTTTGATTATTGATTTATCGATTAAGATCAACTCTAGCTTGGATAACGTGATATCAATTCTTTAAAATCCTGAATCGATTTTAAATATAAATTTATTTTGCCCGAAACAACCACCAAAGAGCTAAAACAGTAAATGGGAGCAGGTACACGGATTCTGCACAAAGACGTAAACACAAAGCGCAGACCCGCCGACACATCAGAATCAGTGAGATGTCGCCTTTCTCACCCAGCGGCACAGACACAGACACGATCAGGGCTGAATGCAGACAGCTCACTGATTCTGATGTTTCAGTGGGTCCACACTTTGTGTTTACGTCCTTTTTGCACTAGAGTCTGAAGCTGCAGGTTTTATTTCTCTCCAAACAATATTGACTGAACCAGCAGCAAAAGAAGATCCAAACTACGCTTCACATAAACATCGTCATGAATTCCCTCTTACTTTACTGCATTATTCGCTCGCTTATTAGCCACCAGTCTGCAGAATATTTTTAAGGCCATCTGCTATAAAATCCCAGGCCAGGAAAATCGCCTTCATGTTTTTCTGTTTTATCCTCAGTTACTTTGACACAAAGGCATCTGCTGTGATGCTTACGCCTTCGATAAAGTCTCGAAAGTGTCAGCTTTCTTTTTACAAAAATAAAAATATGGATATGTACTGATACGTGATCAGAATTATAATATTTGAATCAAATCGAATTGATTTGGGACCTTGTGAATTGGAATAGAATAGATTCTAGAAATCAGTGACGATACCCAGACCTATTCCTGATGGTTAGGGACAAACGCAACTGCGTGGCAGGATGCTGTAAATGGACTAAACTTCAGTCAGGAAAACAACTGAGATAATCCATCCACAATACATGGTTAGTCATTAATATGCTGCTGCATGGCATAAGCTTTAAAATGAACAGTGGTAATAAAAACCGAGAGTAGCTGAAGGTGATCACTGCCTTTTTTAGGGGCTTTTTCAGATTAAATAGAACAAGATACAAAGCATTAAAACATGTTAAAAACACAACAGCCTTGATAAACGCAGAGTAGTTTTGACCCAGAAGTAGAGTTCATATGTCATCACTTAAAAATTGGATATCCCACCTGCTGTGAATGTTTTAATGCAGTACAGTTGTTATTATTATCATCATCACTTGTCACATCCTGTTTATGACAGTTAAAATTAATAACATTGATATAAGAAACTGAGCCAATTTTGCCATACCTGGTGCGCGGGGAAAAATTATCAATATGCTTTTTGTGACATTTTTGTTTGGTGGTGTTCTGTGTGATTTTTCTAATGTGAAATAAGTGCCATGGCTCCAAAAGGTTGGGAAACACAGGTTTAGAGTGACCCACTCTTTCACTAATGTTTGTAAAGCAGACTGCATGGCTAGGTGTTCGATTTTATACACTTGTGGCAATGAGAATGAAAACACCTGAATTCAAACAGGTAGCCCAATACTTTAGTCCACACAATATATCTAGCATCAAATACCATCATAACACAGATGTCAAAATGGAAGTATTCTAACAATAACCCAAAGAGACGACCTTCGAGTCGATACTGAGCACTGGTTAGGTTCAGTTATTTTGTAGTGCAGAAAAAAATGGAAAAATATGCTAAGAACTTGCTACTGCTCTGGAGAAAATGACAATTATATAGAGCACAAGTAAAGCATGCTGCCTTTAATTATTAGACAATTAGAGAATCAAATGTTCTTTCTGTATGCAGAAAAATATAGCTAAATAAAAATCAATCAAAAAAGGTAGTAACCAATGATGAGCTCTCAGGGTGCGTTTGTACCAATGATGTTACACTAACTTGATTAAATGGTTTGAGTCAAACCATATAAAATATTTTTAAGAGATGACACACTTAAACTATCCAGGAATGTCAGAAAACTGCTGTAGGTACGACTCTGTTAACCATCAGAATTAAGATGGAGAATAAAAGTGTACCATTGTGCAGTAGCTCCTCCAGGTTATCAGGGTTACGGGCAAGCTGCAGGATGAGAGCTGAGCCTCTGATCTTCTCTGGAATCCCTTCATAGAGCAGTTCAATATACTCATCCACTCTAGTTATACTGGCCTCCTCATTTAACTACAAACACAAACAGACACACAAAGTTGTTGACTGATAACAAATGCATTCTTTCACCAGCCAAACTATTTAAACAACACATTTGAGCAACTTCGGGTTGTTGCTATAATGAAGACAGAACACGTGCTTACTGCTGTGTGAGATCAAACTACAGTGGAACAAATGGTTACCTCTATGCCTTCAAATGGTGTCAATTCTTTGGGCTTGACTGTTCTTTTTCCTTTTTTTTCCACTGGTGACAAAACACACACACACATAAACAGCCAAAACAAAGCACATCAGCATTAATTCCAAACTTGAAACTTTACTTGCATTAGTTTACATTTTCTTTTATTAGCATCACAGTGCATACTTTAGGTCTGCCATTATACAACCTGCTTACATGTCTTAATATTTCTAGAATGTTTACAGTACATGCTGGACTAACAAGCTGCCAATCTACATGTGGGACTGAAGTTAGCCAAAGTCGGAATTGGACAGTAAAGATTTTGGGCTCCAGAGCACAGGTGCAATGAAGGTGGTATGACTAACCGTTGCTCTCCACTGGGGATGATTTCCTGTTCTGCAAGTAATACAGGAGCTGCTCCACTTGGGGCAGACGGGAAGCAGGGATCATCTTACACTCCTCCAGCACTTTCTTTGCCAAAGCTCCCACATCTGTACTAGGAGAAAGACTTTTCATGCGGATACTGGAGCATGAAAAAAAGAGCAGAAGAGAAAGCAGAAGCTAGCAGGTTTCATTAAATTCAAAATAAATATACTGATTGTAAAACTGTGGCCCAATAGCCTTTTTTTCTGGCATAAATAATACATTTTTTTTACTTTTTTAATCCTTTCCACAGGCAGAATAGTCCTCTTTTCACACACCTAATGTAAAAGACACTGTCATGATGTCACCCACTAGTTTGTTTGTGAGGTCCTGTTGTGATGTAAAACCTAAAGACAGACGCGCTCAAATGGTTATAAAATATCTAGTTAGGCCTGCCTTGCAACAAAACCTTATTTATTAGCGTTTATTAGCAGCAGTTAAGACCACAAAGTCATTTTCCAATCAGATAAATCCTTTGCTGCTGATTATTGGGACCTACTTTTCAGACCTAGAAGCTACATTTGTCTTTTATATACCGTATATGCTGCCCAATTATGCTAACGTCACTCACTGGCAGAATGAAATTAATGTAATAAAACAGATAAATATGAGCCACTGACACAGATAAATGTTACCTTATTTGCAAATAGGTATATATATTAGTAAATGGGGCAATATTAACTGACAGAAATATGTCAGCACATGACCAAAACTTTGTTTTGTAACATGGCTTTGTTACCATCCAGCAACGGAATAAAAGTCCATTGCAAAAGAAATGATTAAGAATTATCTGTCCAGTTTAGATGGATTAGACTGACAAAGGCTAATTTGACATAAAAATCTAATCCAATCAATTTAAAAGCTATTCTTTTTAAGGAAAAAAAGATTTAAAGTTCAAAAGGAAACTGAAATGAAGTGTTTAGGAGTTGTGAGTCAAGAGGCCACTTACATTTTTTGTCCCTCCTTGCGTTCTCCAAGCATATGTCCTCCACTCTCTCCAAGGATAGATGCCTCCACCTCATAGTGGACTACAAGGGCCTTCTGTGTGGGATGGACGTCCAAACCGCCCACAGTCACTTTGCTTTGAGCGATCAAGAACAGGCAGTACAAAATACGGTAAACACATAAAACTCCAGTTATTTAATTTACATCATACCATATAATAACTGCATCAGACGCAAATCAGCTAGCAAGTTAATTTCACAACAAAATGACTTTAAATGTTACTACAGAAAATAGGTCGTTAATTGCCAAGCCAGTAAAAAATCCGCCGCCCATAACAATAACACATAGGAAGACACGCCCAGACAGTAGCATAACATTACTATACTGGCTTACCGGCTAACAATAAAACACGATTCCACAGAGAGTTAAAGCATGACAAACACGAGCTAAACTCGGTGCAAACCCCTGATTGCAAATAAATTCAACACTACGTGCAATTAGCTAGCGATTATCCACCACAGTTTAGCACGGAAGCTTGCTAGCTATGTTAGCTCCAATTCAGATTTCCAATCCCCCTTCCTTCACGTAGGGAAGCTAATAATAAACCCAGTTCAAGAATGTTTCCTTTTATTGGCGGATTTATAAGTCAGTGGAAAACGTAAAATCAGTCGTTATTTGTTTATAAGTTGTCATGCACTGTAGGCTCCTTTTAGAAATAATTGGGTGACTGTGCTAACGAAGGGGACGTGAATGCAAGCATGAAGGCTGATTATATTGTGAGAGATTTTAAGTGACCTTTCTGTCAACTGCATGTACGCCAAATTGACCGTTGTCGTTATTTATTTAAAACATAAACAATTATATGCTCGCATTCTGCACCGAGCAAGAAAACAGGAAATTTCCCAAATTGGAAAGGTAATTAAACATCGCACTATATAGAGAAATGCCATGGATCAGGGCAAGCTAATTAGCAAGAATTTCAATTTAAAAAACGCTTCCTCTTATCTTCCAAGTGTTTGTTAGACGTTCACAGTAAAGCTAACGTGATAGTATGGACACCATATATTACTTAAATTGGTGACCATAGCTAGCAAACACATTACTCTTAGAATAATAAACTCACGTTATGACTGACCGTTTGAGATAACGTGCATCATCCTGCATCTTCCTCAGATTTTAACTTCAATATTTTTAATGAACGTAACAGTAGTGATGTGTCGGGTAATCTCGGGTGTTTTTGTGAAGCGCGTATCGAGGCTTGCTTTGATTACGTATGCAATGACGTTCGTACCACGTGACTGATTCAGTAACTGGTAGTGATGGGAATTACGGATCTTTTTAGAGAACCGGCTCTTCCGTTTCGACTCACTAAAAAGAGTCGTCTCTTTCGAACTCCCAACCGGCTCTTCAGATTGTTTTGTTGCTTTAACCCTTTAAGACCTACCATAGAACCAAGTCCACCAGAGCTTATATTATATTTTTACATGCTGTA